TGTGCGTTGACCTAATGTGTACGTGTGAAACGTTGTTTTTACTTCTGTTCCGTTCTAGTATTTTCATAAAATCTGAACATTGTATTAAATATACATAAATAAAAATCATATTAAATATCCATGTACTTAAATACTCTCGCGATCATTGCTAAAACTCACTGAAGAGCGTTTATTAACTTTCAGGTTCGACTGACCAATAGTAATAAAGGGATTATAAAGAGGTGGAGTTCATCGTGATTGACAATGTCGAGCACCAATCACAACGTTATGTGCTCTAAAAAAAGCGCGACGTCATTAACGTCAGTAATCTCTCCGCCTCCATCTCAACGCCAGACACTTTTCTCAACACAAAAGCAAAATGTCCGCTGGACGCTCGGAGCCTGTGCATCTTCAGGTCTGCGGGCATTAGGAGCGCACAAAAACAACGTTTAGCCAGAAGGCGCCACTCACTGACTTCAAACCAGGGGGGGAATAAAATGTCACTAACAGAAAAAAAAACGTTCGACTTGTCAAAAGTAAAAATGGTTATCATTTGCTAATTACCTTCACTCCGTATGGTGGATCATCGAATGTAACTAGCATGTACCTGTCGCCTCTACTAGCCGGGTCTCGGGCACGCAGCTGTCAAAAAAAGAAAACCAAAACAACAGATATTAATTTCGACCGTATTTGACCAACGAACCCTAGGCTCACCATAGGTGCATATTACCCTAAAGCAGTCGGGGTTGAAATTATTCTTTACCTTCATAAAGACCTCAACCGCGCCTTTAGCAACATCCAGATACGTCGTACCCAAATAAGTGCGCTGATTCATAGAGGCGGACGTGTCTAACAGGAAAAGTAAAATAGGCATTTTAAATATAAAGCCGCGGTGTTATGCTTTTCTAGCTCAACTGTTCTCCATTTATGACCTATGATGCGGCCAACAGCACAAACGTGTGTATATGTTTGTTGTAGTAAGTCCCCCCCCCTCCAGTAGAGGGCCGTTGCCTCTACCCTCCTTCTATGTGCCTTTCCAGTGCTCTGGCTTAGCTCGCGCAGTTCAACTTCTGCACCCAACGAGAAGGAACACCCCCTCCAACCAGCAGCGACACCATTGGTCCAAGTGTTTTATTAACCACGCCCCTTCATTTGAATACATATTAAGTGAGGTCGCTAGTTTTTCGCCTGCAGGGACATCCGCCAACCCATGACAATTGTTGGTAACTAAAAACATTGCTGCATCTTTGAGTATGGCACCTGTTAACAGCCTCGTGTGCAACACTGGACCAAATGTTATTAACAATGGTCATTATGTACTCTGCTGGGTCTGTTCTGAGGCACTTACTGTGGCAACAGTGAAGTCCTATTTTGGACATTTGCCTCTGTGTGATGTCACCCTTTCATCTTTTTATCTTGTCTTTTGTTATAGAACTAAACCTTTCTTTGATCTTTAACAACAACAAAAATTTCAAGTAAAAACACATTTGTATTTTGCAGTTTTAATTATATTCTGCACGATTTCTCTAATTTACTGAGCATTCTTGAATAACTTGTGAGTAAACAATCTTCACCACCACATTATGTAAGCAGTAGAAAGCAGATCTATTTTTCTTTGGCTGGAGTGTGGGTGTTTCCTGTTGTTTGTATTTTTGTCCAAAACATGTACATTTTATAAGCTTTATCCACTATAGAGTATGCTCTGAAAAACTGTTATTAGCAGTTGTATCAACCTTTTGTTTTACAAAAGACATATGTCTGTTGTATTAGATTTAACTAGGGGAATAAAACAACTCTGTTCCCTATTAAGAATTAGGCCTTAAAACCATTTGACATAAGGTGCTAAAAGATGTTAGCAATGCAATTGAACAATGCTATTGCTATTAAAAAAAGGGTCACAAAATGGAACTGGATCCGGCAGTCTGTCACGTTGCCTTTCTTTTGCGGGTTTTATGTTCTCTCTGCCTGTAGCAATTTACTCTTGTATCAAAAGTCCAAAATAAAAACGATATTTGTTGGACTGTGAACAACCTAAAAAGGCTGTACATGTGACTGGGGATACAGTGGGTTGTTTGTCTTCAATTGTTGCGCTTTGATGAATGGTAACTGTTGTTTATTGATATTTAACCTGTAACCTGTATTTTGTGGTATTGTGGTTTCTTTTCCAAAGCCCTGTGATTCATGGTGTTTGACAGTGTTAGTAAAGGCCCCATTCCTGAACGTTACAGTGACATGACAGTTGGTATTAAGTGGTTATAAGTCATCTTTGCAAACACATTTGTGTGATAAAGTCAGACGATGAATAGGTAAATATTTATAGTAAATTCTTGAGTGGTTAACAAGAGGCCTGACTTTTCTCCTTGAGTGGCGAACAATCCTATCGATATTCAAACATAAAAAGAGTAACAGGATATTTTAAAAAACTAAAATGGACGAAGTAACGTTTGCGCCGAGCTTTCTAAAATAATCAACGGTTGTTAAAGAAACGCCGCTTCCGCCTCTGCTGACGTCTTCCACGTTTAATCACTGACTCTCCCAGAATGCACCGCGACATCTGCGGCTGTATTATTATTATTGTTGACAAGAAAAGGCAGCAGGGGAACTCAACACAGGGTGGGTTCTCACAACGCTCTGGACTCGGATACACGAACTAGTGTACTGACAACAAGGTGAACTGTGGCTCTGAGTTTTATATTAAAGTACAGTAGCTCATCTCACTGCTTAATGTCATGTCGCTGTGTTTTTTCAGCCTTCGGAGGCTAAAGGCTAATGGCTGGGCTAGCGCTAGCCAACGTCAGCGATGCTGTAGTTGTACTTGTCCCAGTGTCTTAACGACCGACTCGGAAACACCGACGAGGCTATATATTATAAAGAATACATGAGACTTTAATACCGGAAAATTTGTTTTGAACGCACTTTCGTAAAATTTTTGTTCCAGGCGTCTGTTTACACAGTCACCTGCCATTACGGTGCACTTTAAGGACAACCTCTCTGTTTACACTGTCAATATGTGAATATGAGCCTTTTCAGTGTATCGTCAAAGAAACGCGTCGCGCTTATTGACCACTACGCCGAATAACAAAGTATCGCATTTTTAACGTAAAGGTGGGTGAAGAAAATATATCGCGACACCTCGAGCCTCATTTCCGCTGCTTTGTCGTAACCATGTAAACACCAACTGACCTCGTGTTGGTGTTGTTGTCCTGACGTCGAGGGCGTTTTGAACCCAAGTCAATTTTACTGTTATCTGTGTGACATTTACCTGTTGTTGTGGGAACACGCGTGCATTTAAACATGTTTGTAATTCTTTTGCGTACACCACGGGGGCTCCACTGGTTTCCAAAGTCTTGTTTAAAGACATTAATGTTGTGAGATTATTGAAGTTATTGCTGGGTTAGTTCATTTCAGTTTTATATTTTGTATATACATATACATATACATTTTTTTATACATAATTAGAAAAATGTATTTCCTTTCTTCAATAAGTTATACATAATTAGAATAATTGTATTTTCTTTCTTCAATAAGTCGAGCATTCTGTAAAATATTGGTGTTTCAGACAGTTTCAACAGAACCAGTGTGATATACTATATGTCACTGTGGTCTTTCTTTTTTATATGTCATTATGCATTCATGTCATTTGTGGTTAAGGAAAGCAATTTTCTGTTTCTCTCTTCAGTGTCTCATCATGGCCTTAAGAAGCTAAGAGCTGGGGCTGCCGTTTCCACCGAGAGGGATTTTTCACAGCGATATAGTCGGCAGTGAAGGTGGACGGCCCTGGCTCACCGTGCGCAAAGGAGAGCTCAGCTGGAGCCAATGCAGCAGCAGCATCATCGACAGCCAGAGCTGGTGGAAGGCAGCCTTCCCGTGTTCGTGTTCCCCACTGAGCTCATCTTCTACGCAGATGAACAGACGTCTCACAAGCAGGTGCTCACCCTCTACAACCCCTATGAGTTCGCCCTCAAGTTTAAAGGTCAGTAACAACTATAATATTTAACGCTAATGATACGTAGGGCTGTCAAAAAACATAATACATTTCTAATCAGATTAATTGCGACATAGCTGTGGGTTAATCACAGAAAAAGCCGATGTTGTTAATCATGATAAATCATGAATAACTGATATTTGAAATTTTGAATTGACAGCCCTAATAATACCGTCAACTTTTTAAATTAAGTGTTTTACATTTAAATTGTGTCCGTTCTTCTTCTTTGTCAGTGCTCTGCACAGCGCCAAACAAGTACTCTGTGGTGGATGCCACCGGGGCGGTTAAACCACAATGCTGCGTTGACATGTAAGTTTGCCATCCTGTCCATGGAGTTTTACATGATGTACTCGCTTTAAAAATGACATTTATTTGCACATGTTGCAGTCAGATGGTTGTTTATACTGTTGAATAACCAGTTGGACTGATGTTCCTCGTCCACACAGAGTGATCAGACACAGGGACGTCCGAGCCTGCCATTATGGGGTCTACGACAAGTTCAGGCTCCAGGTATCAGAGCAGAGTCAACGGAAAGCCCTGGGTCGCAAAGAAGTGACGGCGACGCTCCGCCCCTCTGCGTCACAGGAGCCGCCCAGCCCCCGCCCCCAGGATGAGGAACGAAGAATCAAAGAGCAGTTCGCAGAAAGCGAATTTTTTGAGCAGACTTCATATCAGACAGGTAGGACTGGGGAAGGTTGATGTTCGGTGTTGCCACTAGAGGGAGCCGTTTGCCTGTAAATATCCTGTGTTTCGATTAGAAAAGTTTGTAGATTTATTTACTGTATTTGTTCCATTGATGAAGAAAAAAACTGGACACTGTTGCATGTGGACACATTGCTGTTGTTATTACACATGCTTCAAACTAAAGGTCTAATGTTCTGAGCTGAGTCTGACAGCAAAACGTTTGTGTCTGTGTGTGAGACAGAGAGCCGTCCAGCTGCTGGAGGCCCCAGTCTGCTGACGGTGCTGCTTGGACTGGTGTGTATGGCCGCCCTGATGCTTCCCACTCTGGGAGAACAAGAATCTACTGTGCCTGTCTACCTCCACTTAAGTGTTAACAAGAAACTGGTGGCTGCTTACGTCCTGGGTGAGTAGAACAGACGACGGGTGTGAGGCGAGCAGAACCGTGTGGTTAAAGAAGTGTGTGTGTTGACGGAGTTGTTCCCTGTGATACTTCAGGTCTTCTTACAATGGTCATACTTCGCACTTGAAGCGACGAGAGCCAAGAGGAGAGGGAAATTAACTAAAAGACTAGAATGTTCTCACACCTGTGGCGCCGCGCGGTGTGTCCAGCTGACAGCGGGTCCGTCTCGGATCCGTTCGTCTGCCGAAGGATTCATTCAAGTACATTTGTTTTCAGATCCACACGTGTGTTAACAGTTTCACTGAGAACGGATAGAGAAGACGGCTCTGGTGTGTCTGTGTGTGTGTAAGAGAAGTGAGAGGTTGATTACAGAGAAACCGCCCGACGAACGAGGCCTGTGAAGAAACACGAGGCTGCTCAGTCTCCGTTGGCCTGGTGTGTATTATGTGTATTTATGTTGCCATGACGTAACTGGAGTGTGAAGAATCTAAATGCAAACATGACACGTGTATATAAAGACATTTTTTAATTATAGTACTCATCTGTAACCATGGTTATGTTTTAAAGCATTTTAGTCTGTAGTGAGTCTGACGACTTCATGCATGTGTGGATACCAATTTGAATGAGTTTTTTTTTTTTTTTACAGCAGTATGTACTTTTTACATTTCACCCAAGGGGGATAAACGTGTGTTTGCTGTATTATCAACACCCTATGGAAAGAATAATAAAGTCTCAATTATGTTCACAGATGAAATCTGCTTCCTGATTGGTTCTAGTGTTTGAGTCCAACAACACAACTGGAAAACAAACAATTTTGTCTCTTTGTATCAAGATTAAATTAATTCATATTAAAATGAATCATCAAAGGGCAGAGTTTGATGATTCCAGAAACCTTCATCTCTATGTAGACACTAACGCAGGAGCCCAAAAGGGCAGATTTTAATGATGATTAATGATTCCAGAAAACCATCTCTATGTAGACACTAACGCAGGAGTCCAGAAGCTGCGGTGACGTGGAGCGATAAGTCACACAGGTCCGTTACCACTGGCTGAAACAACAGCTCTGATTTTCCTGTGCAAAAAAGCTTTTAATGAATGTAACACAACAGGACCAGCAGTCTCTTTACAATACAACATCATTTCCTGTCCTTTTGTTTTGCACACATACGTATTTGTTTTAACTGCCGATAGAAACACATCCAACCTTTTTTTTTTTTATAATACATTTTTTGTATAAATAGACTTTTTTTGCCAGGAACAGAAGAAGAAAAAAAGCTGGAGCCTAAACTTTTCTTTATCTACAAAACAAAACTATCCTGACAACAACACAGGATACAGAGGAACCATTAGTGTTCACACACCTCTGACATACACCCAACATGGGGCACAGGGGGTGTAGTATTTGCTCATGGGGCGAATAGAGTCACAGCGAGTCATGAGGATGGGGGGGGCACATCAAGTCTAAGACAGTCTTTTTTTTTTTAATACCACAGTTCAGTCTCTGACAAAAATAGAACATCTTCTGAAAACATAACTTCTGTTACAGTTAGAACATTTACACCGTTGTACCCCAGGAGACAAATAGTTCCCGTTCCTTGAACGCTTGTGCCGTCGTAGATCAGTTGTCCACGCTGACCCTTAGTGCCGAACTTAAAACTATGTACGACACCTGACATGTTCATATGTACATAACCACGACCAAGGCGAGGAAAAAACAATAAGTTAAATCTTTTCTTACAACATCTGCAGACGGTGAAGACACAGTTCTGTGGACAGACGTCTCCCAGCACAACCACACATCCAAATAGTCTCTTTTTTTTTCCTCCAGTGCTGTGTCTCTTCCTGTAGGGGGAGCTGGTAGGACAGGATTAAAGAGCAGATGCCTAGAAACAACGTGAAGACTAAGCCAAGCACCGTCCAGGGGATTTTTTTTATAGCAGCTGATGCTCAGCGTCTTCACTCATTTCCAGTTTCATGGTCAAACATCGAACTCGGCCACGGTGTTGGCTTCCTCCATCAAAACATTTCTGGGACATCCAGCATGTAGCGATAAGAGAGAGAGAGAGAGAGACGCTCGGAAGCTAACAGAAAATCTAACCGGGTCCTGGTGGTGGTAGTAGTGAAGGTTTGGGAAGGAAATCAGTCTTGATCGTGTCTGTGCTCATTTTGGAGACAAATCCTGGAGAGAAGCGTAGGGCGAGTTGCTGGAGGAGGAGGGCGACACTCCCTCCATTTTGCCTGGGGAGTCAGTGGAGGAGCTGACGCTGCTCAGGCTGCCGTCCAGTAAATCTGGCGAGTGACTGTAATAAAAGAAATTGCATTAAAACTGCACGCTGTCACAAAAGGGTGGTAGAGTTTTCTCCACGTTTTTAATTGAGATTTTTATTTCTCCACTGAGGCGCGTGGTAGAACATTGGAAATTAATCAGGAAATAAAATTATTATAATCATTAGTATAAATTGAGTATTTGTCAGTTGGAGGCAGAGTCTGACTTTATTCTGCCTCAGAACAATGACCAGGAGTTTCCATGTGTGAAGTTCAACTTCAAACAACAAACAGAAATTCTTACCAAGAACTGAGATCTGAGAGGTTGGAGACGTCGGACGACAGCATGGTGGTGGTGCCCTGGAACAGCCTCTTGGGTTGGCTCTCCGTCTCCATCTCACCTTCACAAACAGGAGACACACATTAATAATATGTCTTTCTTTTGCACAAAACTAAAAACATGAAATCTGATCTGAGGTTAAGACAAACATAAAAAGGTGCAGTTATAATGCAGTATATGGTGATATCATCGTGTTAGTGTAGAAAATGATGCATTAAAAAAAAAAAAAAAACACTTCTATGGACAAAGTCTCTCACCTTTGCGTTTGATTGGCCCCAGTATGCTGGCTCTGATGCAGTTGATTGGGCTTTGACTTCGACGGCTGAGAAACAAAAAAATGTTTTTTAAAAACTTGAACTAAGAGACAATTTTACCAAAACAGTCATTTAGTGTTAACTGGAAAATAATTGTAAAAGTGTTC